TAATATTTAATGAATGGGTGTAACTGTGTTCCAATAATCCTTTTGTTATGTAAATTTGATTCCCATATGATGTTTACATATCACAACGTAGTATTCTCCTTTTGATTTATTTTCAACCATTAAAAAATGTCAAAAACATTCTTAGTTCCTGGGCTACATACCAAAATAGGGAGCAGGCTGAATTTGGCTTGGGGCCATTGTTTGCAAATCTTGGCCTTAAAAGTATGATAGATCATTCCAAAAAGAATCACATGTCTGAAATAGCCAACTGTGGCAGAAATTATAAGCATGATCTATTTTGCATAGTAAGTGTTCAAAAAATGCTTCCCAGCAAGAACTAAAGATGAGCAATTGGAAATTCTAAGGCCAAGATGTCTTCCGGAAGAGACAGGATCCCGAAAGCCAGTATAAAGTATGAACAATTTAGAGTGAAAGGTCAGGAGATGGAATGAAAGTTCCAAACAGCTTCTCTGAAGTCTAAGGAGAAGTAGATGGGTGATTGGAATGAAAGGTGGATGAATCTGATTCATGTTGCTTTACTGTTTGTTTCTTCAATTACAGGGACATGTGCATGTTCAAAGACCCCTGGAGACAGAACTCAGTTATAAATTAAATGTAGACAGATTTTTTCTGAAGGCAAAGGATAGTGGACAAATCAGGATTAGAGAGAAGAGTGGGAGGAAGGAATGAAAGCACAGAAACTTGCTGAGTTTGGAGGCAAGGGAGATGGAGGTGCTTGTGATAAATACTGTTCACCCTCACCATGAATGTCACAAGGGGGAATGTGAGGAAGAAGGGGAAGGAAAGATGGGAGCTTGGAGATTTGTGGGCGAAATATTTTTATAGGTAATCAGTACAATAAATGAAAATGACCAAGTCCCATAGAAGATGAGTATATATATTCATCTGTTTGATTTGTGACTTCTGTGTAGCAAATCAGGAAGCATCAACACTATTTTAATTGATAAACCAAAATTTCCATCATTACTAGTGATGTAGCTATTATTCCTTTAAAATTTTGGAACGGGATAATGCATGCACAGGAAACATGTGAAGAAATGTGGACGTGACCCAAAGGGAGACAGTTAAGTTCTCATTACGCATTAGAATTGTCTTTTTATTATGGACTTATCCTCATTAGTTCTAAAACCTTATTAATTCTTTCACTCCAAAGGGTAGCATACATTTCTATAAAAATGATTGAATGATACCCTTTGATATAATTTCTGACAATTTTCCTCATCAGTATGTATTATCTTAATCTTATTTTGCATCTCTGGTATTTTTTTTTTAGCTTCTCTTTTATCCCACTGAATGCCTAATGCATGTGAAAAATGTTCCCCTACTATTCCTATCCACAGAAATAAATATTAATCTGTGTATCCGAAAAAAGGAGAGTGCTTTTGTAAAATGAGACCTAATAGAGTATAATCAGAAATAATGGCAGAAAGTGAAGCAAAGAAAATTCATAGTGACTGTCAGGAAACTTTTAATGGCTTTGTAAAAATGATTGTGAGTCTAGTCAGGGCCATCTTATGGGGACAGCATACAAATAGGAAATAATTCCCAGCAGCGCAATTTATTTTACTGTTCAATAGTTTTGTAGCAAACAAAGGGGTGGAAATTGCTCCTGGTTTCAGCCGTTGTTTGCCTGACAGTGATCTGTCAGGTCACTCAAACTTTCTGTTAGTTTGGCAGGTTTTGTTGGTAGCTTTCACACAATAGCAAAGAATTTGTAAACAATTTCCCCATTTTCAGATCCGTTCATCAACCTTCCTCAACTTTTTCATCACCTTTTCATGCCTCTCGAGGACATATTTTATACAGCATTTGATTCTCACAAAAGAGGGCCTTGTCAGAGATGTTCAATATCCTTAGGCAGAAAAATGGACGTCAACAATAATGATTCAGTGAATTGATGAGTGAAAGTACAACCCCGTGCTCTGTTCTGGGCATGCGCGGAGGACAGACGTCTGCCTCCGCGTTTGTGCTGCATTCTGAAGGATGCCACAGACACCTCTCAGGGTGACCCACTGGTCCTCATCCTGGAATGACTGTGGCACCTTCCATGAAACGGGGTGAACTCCACCCCTCCAGAATTACCCAAAACATACACTGCATGTTTAGTTTTTAGACTTTTTTGCTCATGTCCTGGGAGCCTGGAAGAACTATGCTGTTCTGAGAATCACATGTACCTGGTGTTCTGGTGAGCCTGGTCACTTCTGGACTGGATCTCAAAAATGAGTGGATGCTCCAGGTCCTCTGGAATTTAGACCTGAAGTTTGGAGAAAAAAAAGGCAACCCACGTACTGAGCTTCTCATTCCAAAGTGCTCTGGTTTTTATGTTATTTACCAAATGTTACGCAAACAAGAAAAACAATTATGATGGTTGTGCTGTCTGAGGAGAGTTTTTATGGTATATTCATTTTAATTATTAAATGCCAAATGTGGTTTATCTGCTGTAGCTCTTAATGAAAAGAAATGCTTAGGTGATGTTGATAATGAAAATTTTGTTGATTTTGTTTCATGAGTATTAAATGCAAATGGTGGATGACATCTCTCCTGGAAAATAAATGTTTTTGTTTGAATTGGAGAAGAGAGTATTCCAATTTAGCTTAAGTGTTACTAACTGGACCTATAATGAAAAAGAATATGAAAAAGAGTGTGTGTGTGTGTGTGTGTATAAATGAATTACTGTGCTATACACCAGAAATTAACACAACATTGTAAATCAACTGTGTCAATTTAAAAAAAAAGAATTATTAACTGGATACACAAAACAGTGAATTAGACATGATAATTAGCAATCAGTCCTAAATTATGAAACAAGTAATACATCAGAATTAGCGTGTATCATACTTTTATCATTATATAAATGTTTATCTTTACACATGTATTTTATGTATAGTTCATAAAGTCTCTCTTCTTAGTGATTTTCCTAACTAGAAATAAATTGAAAGAATTACAAAACCAATAGACCAGTGAATAAAAGAAAAACCTGAAGCAAAAATGAGCTAAATGACATTTCTTCTACTTGCAATGTGTCTGCCAACACGAATCAGAAAGGCTTATGTTTACCTGCAGCATTCACTTATTGAATGTTGAAAGGAGGAAACAGAACTTTTTTTGCCTCATTTATGGCCATCTTAACACAAACTACACAGTATTCAGCCAGAAGGCAGTTCTAGGGTAAAGGAGCAGAAAGAAAAAGGCTTGGGTAGATTAAAAGATTTTGTAAAATTTGACTTTGATACTAAATCAAAAATAAGGTAACAGCTCTGAATAACTACCTTATTCTCGTTTTTCTAAGCATCTGATTCTTCACAAATTAGAAGCCTTCTTTAGTCTTGTGCAGTGGATTTGGTAGCTTTTGAAAAGACCATGAATGTGCTAAGGGGGTAGTCCCTGAGGTTTTGAAAGGCTCAATATATACTTTAGGGTGGCATCTAATGTCTGGTGAAGAAGTGTGAGATTGGGGGGGTTTGGGGGAGAAGCATTGGACTTATTCTGTTTTTCTGCAGTGACTGAGTTATGAACAGATAGTGGCAAGTGAAAGAAGTATAACTTGCGAGAAATAAGCAATAAAGGTTTGAAAAATTTATTTTGAAGGGTAATGCACACTGATTTCTATGCACATTTAATGAGTTTAAATAGGCACCATATACTGTTTTACTTGATTTAACACTTTTTACATACTTATATACTTGACATCAATATTAATATGGAACACATGTAACTCATAAATAGATATTTATATATTTAACATATAAATGTTTATATATATAACTTTTGATGCTAAAAATAGTAAAGTGTCAAACATCAATGTTATCTATAATATGGCCATGCCCATGTTATAATCTAAGAAACTCATTTGATTTTCTATTTCCTAAATTATAGGATGAAGTTTGTCCCAAAGCTGAAGGAGATGAAGTCCAGAGGTGTGTGTGGGCCTCAGCTGTTAATGTCAAAGACAAGTTCATTTACGTAGCACAGCCAACTTTGGATCGAGTCCTTGTTGTTGACGTGCAGTCTCAAAAAGTTGTTCAGGTATGAATGACTCCTCCTTTTGAAAGCAATTTTAAATAACGTTCACTTTAGCATCATAGTCTTTACCAGGTAACTTGTGCAGTGTTATTTTATTGTCAATGATAACTTGTTTCATTCCTTGGATAACTGGAAAATGTTTGCATTTTCCGCAAACTCTCCTCTCATTCTGATCCTTGAGCCTATAAGCAATTAAAGAAGTGATTTAAATAGCTTTTGTTTTCCACAGTTAGATTCCCCGAACACATCATAATGCCAGCATGACCAGTTACACAAAAATCATCCTCAGAATTGCTTATTCTGTCTAAAGCAGTGAGAGTCCCACTTCCAAGGCCAGTTAAGGTATTCCCAGTTACAGTTGCAGAAACAGAATTACATCTTCCTCATTTGATCCTTAACAAAGACTGAGACAATAGTAGATTTACTGGATAATAGGAACTTAATAGATTTCACTATAGTAGTAAAACAAGTAATATGTGGATAGGTCAATGACAGAGAAAAAAAATCTCTAACAACCTCGTCATTGTCATGTTTCCATGTTGCCGTGGCCATGGTTATGAAAAACCATTCCATTTTTGAGCCACC